ACGCACCCCAAGAGAGGTCCAGGGACAACACGTATCCGTATCTTTCCGCCCCCCAAATGGGAGTGCGGCGGAGGCGCAACATTCACCGCCGAGATACCTTTGGCAGCCCGATCCACAGTTGCAGCGCGACCGATGCCAGCAGTTCAAGCAACGTCGGCATCGGGTACGGTAACAGCAACGGGGGCCTGGAAACATCGGCGGATTGCATACGGAGAACCATGCTCGCAGCAACAGAGGATGCCTCACGCGCACAGGTGGAGGAGTGGACGGCATGGTATTTCGAGCGAAGTGGAGATGGGCCTCACGCCTGGCAACGCACAATGTCGACAGATGGACGGTCTATCCGAGTACGCACGACCCACGCCCAGCACAACGAAGGCACGGCGGGCAGCGAAAGGTGGGCCGACGACATTTGCATTTTCCTGCGTTCCACGAGCGCCGCGGAAGACAAGGACGACAAAAAACAGTGGTCACATCGATCATCAAATTTGGAGTTATGGGAAGCTTTAGAGAACATATGTTTAGAGTACGTAGGAGCAGATTGCAACTTACACTGACCTTCCTCGAGTTGACCGAACACCACGAAAGCTCCGACTCCGACACCTATGTCTCCGATTGCGGCTCCCGCCTTTCCAATTCCAACCCCCGCTCCGGCACGACGCGTTTCCAACCCAGTTTCCGACTCCAGTTTCACTCTTTCTGGTCCCAGTTCCCATTGTCGTCTTTCCGACTCCGGCTCTGGCTCCCGGCTCTCCGACTCCAGCTCCTATTATCTCCGACCCCAGGGCGAAGTGTCACGGTGTCATGTTTCCAAATTGCCGCTCCTACGCTTGTCTTTCTAATTCTTGCTATCGTCTCTCTGACTCCCGACTCCAGCTCCTATCCAGGGCCACGATGATGTATGTCTTGTTTGTCTGATTTTTCCCTTGATTTGTTACTGTTGCGTTTCCGTTTCTCGTGATTGTTTTCTGGTGTTGGTTTCTACCCCACGAATCCGTTTTTCTCAGTTTCGGTTCTTTCGATTTGTTATTGCGTGTTGCAATCGTTTCTCCGATTGCGGTTATCCTGCCCTCCGATCCGTGTGTCTATCTTTCCGTCTCTTGCGCGACCGTGTTTCCGGTTCTGTTTCTTATCTCCACAATTCCGGTTCTCTTATCTTCCGGGTATTGCGCCCAGTGCTCAGTTTGCTGCGATATGTTATGCGATGTGCGCTATTTGTTTTGCGATCGCGGCTCTTATCGTCCGACTATTGCGCCTCTTTCGCGTATTCTTGCGATCGTCTCTCCGACTCCAGATGCAGATGTTACATTCACATCGGCATTGCAAAGTGAGGAGTGACAATTTCTCTGGACGACGGAAACGGCAAGCGAGCTCAGCTCTTTTCTCCGCCTTCAGGCCCCACGGTGCAGGCTCCGACTCCTGCCCACCCCGCGCTTCCTGAGGGCCCTGGCCCCCCCGTGCCGCCCTCGCAGGTCTGGCCCCGCCCGACCGGCACGGTGCGCTCACTGCGCCCCGCCTCCAGCTTGCCAGCTGGGCGCGATCGATGCCGAGCGACGAGACACTCACGCTTCTTCGGAGGGGCCGTATCGGGGGTGGACAGAACCCCCAACAGTGACGCGTCGATGAGTGAATTGTCCGTTTTCGGTTCTCGAGAGGGCGCCGCGGCCGTTCTTTTCCAGGCCGCCAGGTTTGGGCCTCAGGTCGTTTTCACTAAACCACGTTTTACTAAAGGGGGATCTGTCCATCCCCGAGAAATGGGCACAATTGAGGCGGACAAGCAGGCCGGCCCCGCCAAGTCAAGGGTACCCTTGTGTCTTGTGTGTTCGTGTCTCGCGCCTTCTGCATTCCTGTGGCAAGCTGGCCCTCGGGAGGTTCTCTTGTCCTCCCGCGCGTCCTTTCCAATCCGCCCCGACTGTACAACGTTTTACGAAAGGGGGGTCTGTCTACCCCCGGCCGCAGAGGTGCCGGAGGCAGGTGCGTGTACACACACGCGTCAGTCGACGAAGGGGTCCACGTGGCGCGCCGAGAGGTTCTGCTCCTGCAGCGGAGCACTCCTCTGCTTAGAGAAGGCGTTTGCTGGCTGCACCAGCAGCCAGCCCCCGCGCCCGAGGAGGAGGAGGAGGAGGAGGAGGAGGAGGAGGAGGAGGAGGAGGAGGAGGAGGATGGGGGAAGGGGGGAGGGGGGGGGGGAGGGGGGAGGGGGGGAGGAGGGAGGGAGGAGAGGAGGAGGAGGAGGAGGAGGAGGAGGAGGAGGAGGAGGAGCCTTGGCATCGCTCGGACGTGTGCATTTGTACTTCGGCGAGGACCATCGAGGAGCATCCTTGATCATTTCGGGAAAAAACCACGCACGAGACCGAAAAAAGCACAGGAATGGACGTCCGAGCGATGGCCAGGGGCCTGGTCTTGCCGCCCGTAGCTGGTGCCGCTGCCCCGGTGGCTTCGCCCGCACCCACTCCGGAGTGGGGCAGCCATTTGGCTATGGTGCTGATCGTCATGCGCCCTTTCACTCGGGATAACCATCCATCGCTGCACTGCGCCCCGCCGCCGCTGGCCCGCTGACGCAGCAGCCGCCGCGGACTCGCCGGCGGGGTCGGCCGCGCCGCTCGCTCGGTAAGGGATCCGTCCCCCCTGAGCCGCTCGCTCCGTCCGCCCCTTTCTTTGCAGCGTTTCCCCCATCTCCTCCTCTTGCATGGTGGCACGACTGGCTTGGACGACATCCCCGTTTAGGCCTCCCATCGCCAGCGCAGACGTACCCTGTTTAGCCGCCGGCGCCAAACATGTGTTTGCTGGCTGCAGTTCGGTTCTGTCCAGCCCTGTGAGTTGCTATTATATTCGGTGCTCCCTCCTCCTCATCATCATCATTATCATTATGTTTAGCAGTAGCAGTATCATCATGACCAGCACCATCATCATCGTCGTCACCATCATCGTCATCACCACTACTAGCAACATTTCAATCATCACCACCATCACAATCACCACGACCATGACACCCGAATCAACATCAACATGGCCATCATCATCAGCATCATCATCATCATCACCATCATCGTCAACATTCCCCTCTTCATCATCACCATCAGCCGCATCACCTTTTTTTATCATTTTCTTGCTTCGACTGCTAAAGCCCCCCACCCACATCCTCTTCGTGCTGCTGCTGTTGATGCCTGATGCCTTTCCGGTACCTTGCGTCACCACGTCGTCTCGTTCTCAGATAACAGTTTGTTTCACGCCGTCGCGGTTGGCAGGCACTGAAGGTATCTTTAGTCTCTATTAAGATGTAGTTGTCCCACCCCCGAATATTCTGAGTGTCTTTGTCGTCGTCCTCCCCTCAGTGCGCCTAATCCCCCGGATGTCGTCCAGCCGTCCAACAATCCTCAGACGCCGGCGGCGGTATGACAACCGCAACGATGGTGCTTCAATGGACGGGAGAGGACAAATACACCATACGGGGCGAGGATCGAGGATTATCCATCGGTCGTTGAAAGTATGTATTTTTGGATTCCCAGATTCCAATCTACTTTCAGCGCCTTCCTACTTCAAGAGTCGAGTGGTTTTCCCTCTTCCTTCCTCTTCAGGAGGCGTGCGGAAACCCAATCTATTTCCAGCGCCTTCCTACTTCATGTTTCTACCTACTTCTTCTGACCGATGGGTATTGAGACAGAGCGCACACTTCGCCGGCAACAGGTGTGCGAGATGTCCGGTGAGTTCGTCCTGAAGGGCAGCTGCAAGATGGGCTGCCGCGACGACGCCCTGCCAGCTTTCGACAATGCCGAAAAGCCAGGTGCGATGTGTTTTACCGCCCTCTGTCATTATCCAGCTCCTCCCTTTGCCCCCCTCCTCTTCCTCCTCCTCCTTCGTATTCTCCTCCTCCTTCGCCTTCTCCTCCTCCTCCTCCTCCTCCTCCTCCTCTTTTTCCTCCTCTGCCACTGCCTCCTCATCATCATCATCATCATCAGCAGCAGCAGCAGCATCATCATCATCAACATCATCATCATCATCATCATCATCATCATCATCATCATCATCATCATCATCATCATCTCATCATCAGCATCATCATCATCATCATCCACCCCTCCGTCGTACTCCACCTCCTCCCACCTCGCTCGTCCTCCTCCCCCCTCTCCCCCTCTCCCCGTCCCCCTCCTCCTCCTGCTCCTCCTCCTCTTCTTCCTCCTCCACATCGCTACGCAATCAGGCAGAGTCTCCAGAGTCTCCTCCTCCTCCTCCTCCTCCTCCTCCTCCTCCTCCTCCCTCCTCCTCCTCCTCCTCCTCCTCCTCCTCCTCCTCCTCCTCCTCCTCATCCTCATCCTCATCCTCCTCATTCTCTCCTCCTCCTCATCCTCCTCATCCTCCCCCTCCTCTCCTCCTTCTCCTCCTCCGAACTTCCTCTCGACCGCAAGACCTCCGATCACCCCCGCCCAACCTCCGAGGTCACCCGGCCCCCGGCCAGCCCCCGATCCCCCGATCACCCAGCCCCCGACCACTCCCGGCGAGCCCCCGATCCCCCCTCTCCGCACCAGCCCCCCCATCCCGGAGCAAGGCGGTCCGGCACCCGGGCGCTCACAGCTGGTCCACGGACCCCCCCCCCAAGGGCCCAAACACGCCAGTCTCCCGCGCCGCGTCCGGCCGTGGCGACGGCCGCTGTCTCAGCTGGCCCTTCTCCGCGCCATCCCTCCCAGCGCGGCAGGCTCCCGCCCTCAACGGCGCCCTTCCACGACCCCATTCCCCCCCCTCCCTCCCTCCCTCCCTCCCTCCTCCCTCCTCCCTCCTCCTCCCTCCTCCTCCTCGACCCCATCCCACGGCCCTCGGCCGCGCGGGCGGTGCTGCCCTCCAGGGCGCCCTGTCCCCCCCCAGGCGCGCGGACCTGTGGAGGGGGAGCCCCCGAGCGGCCACCGAGCGCGGAGGGAAGGGCGCGGGGCGGAGGGGGGAGGGGGGAGGGGGGAGGGACGAGGAGGACGAGGGAGGAGTGGAGCACGGGCACTCGGTGATCATGCGGCCGAGTCGAGGGAGGAGGAGGAGGAGGAGGAGGATCAGGATGAGGAGGAGGAGGAGGAGGAGGAGGAGGATATGGGGAAGATGGGCAGGAGGAGCAGGAGCATGAGGAGAGGGAAAGGAAGCAGGGGGGGGCGGTAGGAAAGGAGGAGGAGGAGGAGGAGGAGGAGGAGGAGGAGGAGGAGGAGAACGAGGAGGACGGGGAAGGAGGACGGGGAGGGGCAGGCTCCCTCAGAAATCCTTGCGAACCTCCGAACATGGTTTTTTTAAGCATTTTCTAAGGTGTTTTTTGTTGTTCTTTTTCTTCTTCTTCTTCTTCTTCTTCTTCTTCTTCTTCTTCTTCTTCTTCTTCTTCTTCTTCCTCTATAGATGTCTCCCCGTGAGGCGCCGCAGGGGGGCCGTGGCTCCCGCCGCGGCGGGCGCCAGGATTGGGCCCCCGGAGACGTCCCGCGGTGGCCCCGCGAGGGCCCCCCCCGTCTCCCGTCCGCTCTGGGGTGCGCTTGGCCTCTCTTGGTGTCGAGGGGGCCCCCTCGACATCAAGAGAGGCGGCGTATTGGGCTCCCCTGGGCCCTCTTTGGGGGCTCTTGGGGGCCCCTTGGGGCGGGAGGGGGTATAGTCGATTGCAGCCCCCCCCCTCGGAGGCCACGATCCTCGTGAGGGGTGGCGAAAAATAGCCTCCCCTCTGGGGATCGCCCGGGACCCGGCCGGGGATCGGCCGGGGTATTTTTCGTCCGGGACCCCCCAGGGGCCGCCCCGCGCGCGCGAACTAGAGATATTGTTGAGTAGTTACTGGAGGTCTTAGCCCGCCTCTGGCCCGTGGGGCCAGCGAATTTCCGGGCGAGAACAGAGCTGTATTGTTTCCGGGCGATGACGGTAGCGGGGGGGTGGAGGAGGGGGGGCAGTAACGTCACGTTTCGCGCCGGCGCCGGTTGGGAATGTTTGGGAATATCAGTCGGGGGCCCCCGAACGGACCACACCGTGCGGTGAGTCGGTGGGGATTCGGGGTCACCGCACGGTTTTGGGTCTCGGGTCGTTCTCCGAGGGCGTGTCCGGCGACAGGGGCCTCCAGGGTCCCAAGACCGTGCGGTGACGGACCGTGCGGTGAGGTCTTGGGAGATTTAGGGGTCACCGCACGGTCTGTCTCCGCACCGTTTCGGGACTCCAAAGATTCGGAAAGAGTTCCCCGCATCCCTTTGCGCCGTTTCTCGCAGGCGCCGCTGCCCATGATGGCAAGATCGTCGGAAGAGTCGCAGGAGTCTTCTCTGGGGTTTTTGGTGGCTTGACACCCGCCCGAGGCTTTCTGATGGAGCTTCGCAAATATCATCGCGTCTCCAGTGCCACCCAGACGCTTCGTGGACGGCATGGAGGTGAATTACACCTGTGGCTGGGCCGACAGAGAAGCGTCGAAGCTCGCGCGGGGGTTCTCCTTCTCTTCGCCCTTCTTCAGATCCCCATCATAATTTTCCCCCCCTCTCTCCCCTGTCCCATTCCTCCATCTTCTCTCCCTATCTCCTTTCCCCTTTATCGTCCTGCCGTGTTGCTGACTAGGTACACGTCATTTGAATGTGGCACCTCCCATCGGGACGGCAGGTTGTGACGCTTGCGTGCTTCTGACTGCATAGAGTGAACTTGGTGCACGGAGGATGGGCCGTGCTAAGACGCATTCTACCCACCCACTCGTTGCGTTGTCCGTGCCGTGGTACGTCCCTCCCCAATCGTCCGCTCCCCCCCTCTGCCGGCTAACGCGCATTGGCGTCGTGATTGGTGAAGGATCGACCACTTTCTTCGGACCCTGCCCGTGCTTCACGAGCCGCATGGCAGCGGCAATCCTCGGAGCTGACCCCTCCCTCTTTGCTGTGACGTCCACGCTCCTTCCGCCTCCCTTCTGGCCGTCTCCCCTCCCCCCACGGTACTGGCCAACGGGTGGCGCTTGGGGTCGCCTCATTGCTTTCAGGGGCACGCGCCCCAAACGGCAGCGCTCCAGAAGGCCACCCCTGGGGATCGTTTTCTTTATTCATTGGGTTGCCGATCGGCGCGGGCCCTTGCAACACCCCCCGTTCCCCCCCGCCCCATGGAGTAGATCTGGGCTGTTTTTGGCGCCTGTTGCGAGCAGGTGGAGTCTCCCCTGTAGGACGCACTGCTGCAACCAGGCGTAGTGAGCAGAGGTCCGGAGCCAGACCCACCCCCACCCTCCCCCTCCTTTCCGCCCAATGCCGAAACGCCGAACAAGGAAAAGCGCTCGCCTGGCAACTGCCACCCGTGTGCGGAGCCTGCGGGTGAGGACAGATCGCGCCCGAGCGTGCTGGAGCACTCCCCCCGGAGTGGCCTGGAGCGGCCCCGGCCCCCCCGAGCCCGTCCTCCTGGACCCGCCAGTTCCCAGAGTCGGGTGTTGCTAGAGGTGCCCCTGGGCCAAGGTCCCCCCAGGATCACCAAAAAAAAGCCTCCAAAGCACCCCTCACGATGCCCAGAGGGTTCCAGGGGCTCCAACATGGAGCGAAAAGCTGGGGGCACCTGGGGCCAGGGGCACTTCCAGCAGCACCCGACAGAGGTGTCCAAAGCATCCGAACCCGGTCGCGTTCGAGTCGCGTCAGGAGGGGAAAAACACAGGCACAATCAGACGTCGATCCCAAGAAAGTATGGGAGAAGATGGGAAGTGGGGGACGACGAAAATCCAGAAAATATGACAACAGACGGGGATTCATGGGATTTCTGTCTATTTCTTTGTGTGTCCCAGGGCCCCTTCATTATACAGTCAACCCGCACAGTAAGGACAGGCAACCTTCCCAAGGGTACCCTTGCATCCCTGCCTCCTCGGCCCATCCTTGACCGCTTTCGCTGGCCGCGCCCCGCTCGCAGAGCTTCGAAATGGGCGTCCAAGGCCCTGGCGTCCTCATCGCGCATCCTTGCTGTATAGTGAGCGGCTTGAATAAGGAACACTTACTTTTCAAAAGGGACTCGATCGTTCCTTAGGTTTGCATGCGTTATTTGCAGTTCCTTACGCGTTATGTATTGTTTATCGTTCCTCATGCGCTATTCCTTGGGATAAAAAAAGGGGCTTCTTTTTTCTTTGCTTATCGTTCCTTAGGTCAGGCCGATGACCGTACTGGGTGGCTCCACCCCCCCTTCCTCTCGTTTTTTGGCCTCGCAGACTCAAATCTGATCTGAAACCTATCCGTCTTGCCTCCCACGCGTTGGGAGCGTGGACTTGGCTTTGCTAGCCCTCAGCTCTGAGACTTGGCCCAAACAGCCTACGGAAGAACAGCGATACAAAATCTGCCTTATTTCGTATCCTGTCTCTCCTCTCCCCCTCGCCTCTCCGCAGGTTGCCTCCGTGCTCTCCGCCTCCGTGCCGAGCCCGCCCCTCGCCTCCTCCCCCGGCTCCTCCGCTCGACCCCCCCCCGGGTCTCGTCGCCGACGGCCCCCCGGGGGGGCACGGCGTGTCTGCGCTCCCCCTCCCTCCTCAACACACACACGCACACGCGCACGCACATTCACGCACACGCACGCGCACGCGCACGCACACGCACACGCACACGCACGCACGCACACGCACACGCACATTCACGCACACACACACACACCCACACACCCACACACCCACACACCCACACACCCACACACCCACACACCCACACACCCACACACACCACACACACGCACACGCACACACACGCACACGCACACGCACACGCACACGCACACGCACACGCACACGCACACGCACACGCACACGCACACGCACACGCACACACGCACACGCACACGCACACGCACACGCACACGCGCACACGCACACGCACACGCGCACGCGCACGCGCACGCGCACGCGCACGCGCACGCGCACGCGCACGCGCACGCGCACGCGCACGCACACGCACACGCACACGCACACGCACGCACGCACGCACGCGCACGCACGCACGCACGCACGCGCACGCGCACGCGCACGCGCACGCACGCACCCACGCACGCACGCACGCACGCACGCACACACTTTTTGGCGGTGGCGGCCCCGCGCGGTCAGCGAAGATGTGGAGCGCAGGGTGCAGCAGCGGGCGACGCGCGGCCTTGGCCCTTTCAGGCGGAATCACCTGGACCCTTTGCCAGGGCACCGAGCGGGGGGCCTTAGCACCATCCGGGCATGGATGGCGGGGATGGGCACGAACGAAATGGATACGGAAAGAATGGGTACAATGCCCAACAGCGGTTCCTGATCATTTTGAACAGGACTCGCTGTCGGTGTCGCCGCGGCCTGTGTACATTTGAGACAGATGGCCGCCTGCCCAACAGCGGCCGCTGCTGGTTTGGGACAACCGTTGTTGGGCATTGTGCCCATTTTTTCCGTACCCATTTCGGGCGTCCAAAGGGGAGGTGGAAGCACCAACGCACGTGTGTCCGTCGGCGGCGAGGCAGAGGCGGTCTGCTCCAGCGGGTGGCGACTCGGGGCAACCGCATGGCGAGTTGGCCGGCGTGCCAGAGGGGCAAAAGGACACGGGCGGCCTCGCGGAGGACCGGAGGAAGAGGAGGGCACGAGTTCCACATCGGGTGGGCCGGTGCGGCCAGCCGCGGCAGCGGGGGCAGCAGCTGGGCCGAGGCGAGGGTGCACCCACAGGCGCTGCCAGAGCTCAGTGTCCAGGTCGAGGAAGAGGTTGAAGAAGCCTCCACACTCTATAGGCCTCCTAGATGGGGTCGGAGTAGATGGGATCGGAGAATCGCGCCGCATCGCCGATGCGGAGCCCGATTTCCTTCACGTCGACGCTGCCGATGCATCGCCCACGTCGACGATGCATCGCTGGCGCGATCCTCCGACCCCACCTACTCCGACCGAAGTCTAGGAGGCCTCGAAGCACACCCACGCCGCCTCCTTCCCGCGCCGCCTCGCCTCGTCTGCCGCGCCCCCCCGCATCCTCTCCTGGACAGCCCCGCCCGAGAGCCAGGCGGGGAGCACTACGGCGCCGACCTCCGGGAGGGCGGGCGCGTGTACGCGAAGTGCGGGGCAGACGGCGACCCCCCCCCAGCGGGAGCACGGAGCGGAGTGTCGCTGGGAAGAGCGGAGGCGGAGGAGGAGGAGGAGGAGGAGGAGGCGTCATCATCGCCATCATCATCATCATCATCATCATCATCATCGTCATCAGCATCATCAGCATCATCAGCATCATCATCATCCTCCTCCTCATCATCATCATCAGCAACATCAGCATCAGCATCATCATCATCATCATCATCATCATCATCATCATCATCATCATCATCAGCATCATCATCATCACCATTATCACCATCATCACCATCACCATTATCACCATCATCATCATAATCATCATCATCATCATCATCATCATCAGCATCATCATCATCATGATCATCATAATCATCATAATCATCAGCAGCATCAGCAGCATCAGCAGCAGCAGAAGTAGCAGCATCATCGAGGAGGGGGATACTGAGGAGGAGCAGGTAGGGAGAAGGAGGAGGAGGAGGAGGAGGAGGATCGGAGGAGAAGGAGGAGGAGGAGGAGGAGGAGGAGGAGAAGGACGAGGACGACCTCAGGAGGAGGGGGACGACGAGGAGGGTGGAGGCAGGGAGGAGGCAAGGAGGACTCTAGGAAGGAAGGGAGGGTGGATGTGGATTTGGATGGTGAGGAGGAGGTATGAAGAGGGAGGGACAGGTAGGGAGGGCGAGGGAGAGGATTTGCCCCTCCTTCCTCTGAGATCGCACGTCTTTTGGGATGGGCATGCGTCCACTACTCGATCCACTCGTTTAGAACTGTTTTTGGCTAGTTTGTGAGGACCCTTGAGAGCCAGCGCCAGCATTCCCGCTGGCCACGCCCTCAGAACGGCATTTACAGGTTTGATGGGTTTGGGGCACCGTGTGCTTGCATTTGTTTAGTGTTGCATGGTCACGTCATTTGAGGACGGACTTGCTTTTCCGCTGCGTCCCGCAGGCCCCCATGTGGTGTTCCTCGCCACGGCTGCATGCGGGTCAGGGCTGGGGGGATGAGACTATGTCGATGCCGCTATTCCGCGGACCCCCACTGGCCCTCTGGGGCTCGTTCTGACCAGGATCTCGAGGCGAATCCAGCCGTGGCTGCGAGAGACGAGTTCCCACCTGTCGTCGAAAGTAGGTTTTTGTTGTTGTTGTTTGGATGCCGAGTTTCCAACACATTGTTTACGCTTCGCGAGTCCCCATCAGCCCATTCGAAAGCAGCCAGTCTAGGGGGTCTTAGGGGTCCTCTTGGGTCTCCCTTGGGGGTTCTTTGAATGCTCTTGGGGCTCTCTTGGAGCTCTCCTGGGATCTTCGCAGGGCCTCCTGGGGCCATCTTGGAGGCCATTGATCAAACAGACGGTGGGTCCTTTCTCGAGGCCCCCCTGAAGAGGCCTAGCAATGACCTCTTGCTCCATCGGGCCTCTCTTGGGGCGATCCTGGGCGGTCTTGGGACCGTCTTGGGGGCCTCATGGGACCCTCTTGGAGCTCTCTTGGGCCATCTTGGGGGTCATCTTGCGGCCTCAAGAGCGCATCGGAAGCGAAACGGCGAGAAGGCAACACACACACACACACAGACACACACACACACACACACACACTGATGCTCCTCAGGTGTTTGAAGGATTTTGGCTTCTCGGGGAGGTCCTGAGGGGTCCCGAAAAGCACCTCTAGCTGTCTCGTGGTCCTCTTTGGAGCCTCTTGGAGGCAAGATGGAGGTCGTCTTGAGAGATCCTGCGCTAGCTTGAGGCATCTTGGAGTCCATCCTCGAGCATCGGGGGCCCTCTTGGAATCGATCCTGGGCGACAAAGGACCCTCGGACACCTCGCGGCCCTGCCCCCCCCAAAAAACGTCTCAGAGGGGAGGGGGAGGGTGCCCCCTCCCCGAAGGCAAGAGGGGTTTGGGAGGAGGCCAGGACGGCATCCTTGCGCAGACCACCTGCGCCCAGAGGGCTGGTGGGATGTGGATGTTGGGCGCCGTCCTGCGTCACTGCAATCGTGCAGCGATCTACTCCAGATTTCGTAATAAAGGGAGGGGGGTCTCATTTCGGGGGGGGTCTCCTCCAGGCTATCCTGGAGGGCCTGGGGGGTCTGGGGACGATGTTTTGGAGGGTTCTCCCGCGGGGGGAGGTCTGAAGTGGCTCGTCTTGGAGGGTCCAGACCCCCTCCCTCTTATTACGACATCTGGAGTCTCCTTGTCCCTTCCGGGTGCGGGCAGCAGCCCGCGGCCCGAATCGGCTCCCGGCGCCTGCCTGCCCCGTGCTTCCGCCCACCGTCCCCCAGCGCCGCCCCTGCCCGCCTCGGCCCGCCCCCCTCGGCCCCCGGGGCCTCGTCCCTCGAGCGCCCCGGGCCCTCCGCCCCCCCGCGGAGCGGGGGGCCGAGCTCTGCACGGTGCCGCGGCGATCCCGTGGGCCTCAGGAGGGGAAAAAACACACACACACACAGACGCAGAGAATCGTCGCTCTCCCAGAAAAAAGATGGGAAAAAGGATGGGAAGGGGGGGGGAGAGAGACACCCAGAAGGCATGGGAAAAGTATAGGGGTATAGTTTTATTTGTGTGTATTGATGTGTGTGTGTCCTGGGGGCCCTTCAGGGTTGTGCTCGCCTCGACTTCGTCTTGCGGCAGGGGCGGCTCGGAGGCAGCACGCGGGAGGACGAGCACGACACGAGGGCGAGCAGCACCGTTGCGGCCGATCTCTGCCCCCCCGGGGTGGTGCCGCGCGTCTCGGCAAGGTCTGCAGTGGAGGCCCATGTCGAGGAACACCCCGCCTGCCTCCGGGGCGTCCTGGGCTTCTCGGGTCTCGGTGGTGTTGCGATGGAGAGCGCGACGTTCCCACGCCAGAAGTCAATGGACGTGCCGGGGGCCTCAGGGTTGGGAGGAGGAGGAGGAGGAGGAGGAGGAGGAGGAGGAGGAGGAGGAGGAGGGAGAGGTGAGGAGGAGGAAGGGAGGGAGAGGTTGGACGTTCCGGGGCCTCAGGGGGGGCCTCAGGGTTGGGGCTCTTGTGGAAGGTCTCCTTGTGGTCGGGCCCCAGCCGCGGGATCTGGGGCAGGAGCCAGTCGTAGGCCCTGGCAGGCCTGGTCCGGTCCGTCCCCTCCTCCTTCGCTCCTCGATCAGGAGGAGGAAGGAGGAGGAGGAAGGAGGAGGAGGAGGAGGAGGAGGAGGGAAGAAGGGAGGAGGAGGAGGAGGAGGAAGGAGGAGGAGGAGGAGGAGGAGGAGGTGAGGAGGAGGAGGAGGCAGGGAGGCAGGGAGGAGGAGGAAGGAGGGAGGATGGAGGAGGAGGAGGAGGAGGAGGAGGAGGAGGAGGAGGAGGGAGGACGAGGAGGGAGGCACAGGGAGGGAGGAGGGAGGGGCGTCGTCCGCTGTCTCGTGCGCTTCCGCGGGACCGGGGCCTCTGGGGCCGCTCGCGCTCTCCGGACCCCCGCGGCCCCGGCACGGCGCCTTTGGGGGCAGCCCGCCGCGGCGGAGCTTCAGAGGCCCAAGGAGGAGGAGGAGGAGGAGGAGGAGGAGGAGGAGGAGGAGGACGAGGACGAGGAGGAGGAGGACGAGGACGAGGAGGACGAGGAGGACGAGGAGGACGAGGAGGACGACAAGGAGGAGGAGGAGGAGGAGGAGGAGGAGGAGGAGGAGGGGCTGCCCGCCGCGGAAGAAGCTCCAGAGGCCCAAGTCAGGGGCAGCGCCAGGGGCAGGTCGGGCGTGTTCTTCCACAGGAGGAATCCCCGCAGGAGGGAAAACAATAGGGGCACAAAAAGTGGCACAAACATCAGAACTCGGAGGTCCGCGCGGATTTCTCGGATCGGCGCTGGGGCCCCCAGGCGGCGCCCCCGGCGCCGCCCCTGGCGCGCTCCGAGCGCCAGGGAGGGGGGGTCCAGCACCGATCCGAGGAATCCGCGCGGACCTCCGAGCTTTTATGTTTATGCTACTTTTTGTTCCCCCATTCCACAAGAGGAATCCTCCCAGGAGGGAAAACAAACACACGGTCACGATGAAATCGTCGATCCCCCCGAACATTTGGGAACATGTGGGAAGTGGGGGGGGAAGACAAGAACCCAGGAAATGTTGGACAATGTGGGGAATCCTGTTGTTTGTGTGTGTGTGTATTTTGTTGTGTGTGTGTGTTTTTGTGTGTGTGTGTGTGTTGTGTGTGTGTGTGTGTGTGTGTGTGTGTGTGTGTGTGTGTGTGTGTGTAGTGTGTGTGTGTGTGTGTGTGTGTGTGTGTGTGTGTGTGTGTGTGTGTGTGTGTGTGTGTGTGTGTGTGTGTGTGTGTGTGTGTGTGTGTGTGTGTGTGTGTGTGTGTGTGTGTCAGGGCCCTTTCATATTCCGATGCTTCGAGTATTTCCGATGCTTGTGTGAGCATTGTTGGGCGACTCCGCGTGCAGCAGGACATGCCCGACCTACGGCTAGGGGGGGGATACTCTCAGAGGGTTTCGCATCGATCCCCGGTCGCCGCTTCCTCCCCGGGAGGTTTGGTGTTCGGCAAAGGGGCTCGCGCTCTTGGACCCGCGGCCCTGGCGTGCCGCCTCTGGGCTGCCCGCCACGGCGGACCTCACCGGGCCCACGTCAGCGGCAGCGCTATAGAGGGGGGGGGGGGAAGAGGTTCAGGGGGGGGGCGCACCGATCCCCAAGGATGCCCTCGAGGGCGCGAAGTTCTTTTCGCTTCGCACCGATCCCCAAGGATGCCTTCGAGGGCCCCCTCGGAGCCGAGGGCCCTCAAGGGCCCTCGGCTCCGACTCCTCCTCGTCCTCCTCTCCTCCCCTCGGGGGCGGCGCGAGAACGCAGAGTCAGGGGGGGGTCGCTGCGATCCCCAGTCGCCGCTTCCTCCTCCGAAGGCTCAGATGCAACTCCTGGGAGGTCAAATTCTGACTTTGCCCTGGTCCGAAGTAGTCCGGCTCATTCTGGCTGACATCCTGTTCGACATGGTTCTTCATCCCGCTGAGTCCCGTTCAATCCGGCTCGATCCCGCTCAGTCCGAGGCTCCCTCCCGCGCAACAGCCCCCCACTAGGGCCTGATCGTTTTTGGTCC